GTTAAATGGAGCTGCTACTTTCCTCTGAAGGTTTTATGTATCTGTATGCCTAGAACAATAAATAATCCAGTGATGGAGCCCCAGGGAGTTTTTGTTGCTATTCTTTGATGAATCGTGGCTTAATTTCATGGAAGTGTGAAAAATGGAGTGAGCTTTCATTCATCCCTCCATTCATTCATTCTTTCCTCCATTCATTCATTCATTCATTCATTCATTAACTACCTACTATCTTTTAGATAAACTAAATTATCTACCCTACCTTTGATGTATGTCATCTAGTTGTGGATATGAATATAAAATATGATACAGTAGCAAGTGCTTTGGAAGCATCAAAGGTAGATCAACTAATGTTGCTTGGGTGATTAAAGAATGTCTTTATTGACGAAGAACCCAGGGCTGCTGTATTTACTTGTGTCAGTTGCCCTGGACAGGTGCAAAGGGGTGAGAAAGAACTCAGCCCCTGCTTTGAGCCCAACATGTACCTTTGTGAGCAGCTGTGCCTTCATGGAGGATGGGGCTCTGTGCAACTGCACACAGGCATCATATAGGTTGTCCTGGGCCCAAAGCAACATTTACGTTGAACCTTAAAGATTGAGTAGGCAGAGTTTTTGATATTAGCTCATCAAAAATCAGAAGAGGTCATGGCATGTCTGGAGAAGGATGAGATGAGTGGCTTGGGTTTCATCTTGGGGGCTGAGGAACTCAGCATTCTTGCACAAGGAGACCTTTTAAGTCTTATGGACTGCAGGGTGGATGTCAGGGGGACAGGTAGCATCCAGAGAAGAGGTGATAGCATCAATGACAGCAAGAACAAAATGGAGATAACAGGGAGGGTTGTAAGGGGAAGGGCACCAGGTGAGGAGGTGAGAAATAGGTGACAGGCAGGCAGGCAGAGCATGTCCTGATTGAAACTCAGCTAGTTAAGGAAATAGTGCATACTGAGAGAGGATAAAACCCTAAAAAGCCAGGTTTGAACATGGGGTGTTCGGCTGAAGCCATGGGCACTCACCGCAGAGAGCACATGGAGGGCAAAAAGTAAAGAGCAGGCGAAGGAGCTGGCAATGAGAAAGGCAGTGGTGATGTTAGAACAATTTAAGCAGAGTGCTGGGGACTGAGTCATATTGTAACCGATTGAAGATTAAATGAGCATTGAAGAAAACAGTACACCCCATCCCTAGTTACATGTTAGCATTATCTTTGAAGGCTCAGAAAAAATAATCAATGCTCCGTCCCACCTCTAGGTATTCAGAGTTAATTGGGCTTCTGAGAGTTCCAGAAAGCAATATTTTAAAGCTCCTCAGATAATATTAATATATAGGGAGAATTAAGAACCATTGCCCCTGAATAGTTTTAAGAAATGTAAATAAAACCCCAAAGCTTCTGAACACATGATGAGCTGCTCCTAATCACAGGGGAACAGAGAATAGGCAATTTTAAGATGAAGTAACCCCATACAGGATATATATAATATAGGATATTATATATTACTGACCCAAATGAGAACTCTCACTAGTGTTTTTCTTTTGGGTATAGGGTCAGCTCTGATGGGTAAGTGGATCCACACAGTCATCCTATGGCACAATACCTTGGCCCAGAGGTTGCACTGCTGGATAAGCATCTTAGGGAAATTCTTCCACAAGACCAAAAGGGAACGTGTGCTAGCACATTCTACTGTGGCCTTGTGCAGACTAGGGAGACCTGGAGATACTGGTCCTTCCATGGAAGGGTTGATTAGATAACATTGGGTCTCTGTACCCCACAGAAGCAGTAAGTTAGATACGTAGACTGTTAACATGAATGGATCCTAAAAATGTAATGCTCATTGAAAACATAGTAAACAATAAGAAACATGACATTATTCCTGAGAAATGCATGTAAGGCAACAGCACTGTGTGTCTTGAAAAAAAGACAAGTTCAAATAAAATCTAGCCAGGCATGGTGGCTCATACCTTTGATCCCAGCACTTGGGAGGCAGAGGCAGACAGATCTCTATAAGATCAAGACAGCCTGGACATGGAGGTTTAAATGGGAAATGGGATCAGGGAAAGGGAAAGGGAAAGGGAGAGGGAGAGGGAGAGGGAGAGAGAGAGGAGGGGAGAGAGAGAGGAGGGGAGAGAGAGAGAGAGAGAGAGAGAACATGCAGATGAGATGGAAAATTCCACTGAGCTTCTCATCTTATTTTTTTCAGTGTTAATAGTAACAGCTGATATTTTTCCTCATTACTAAAACTGTGTGTGCTCATTACAGATGTAACGGAAAACTGACAAGCAAAATTGGCAGATCCACAGACTCACTGGTGCGGAGACAGTGTTCAGATCCTTTCCTATGAAACTGTGGTCAAATAAAAGCTGGCCTCTCTTTTGCTAAGCAGTATATTATTACATACTTCCTCCATGTCCAGAGCTTGGGTAGCTTTGCTGTTCTGGCTGTATACAAAGATACACTATCATCAATGTAAGGAACCCTCTCCAGCTGGCCAGTGAACAGCTACTCACCTTTCAAGACAATTTCCTGTTCATTTAGTTCATTTGAAAAGAAATTAAGATTGGATTTGATTTTTTTTGAGACAGGGTTGCCCTGTAGCCACAGCTGGCATATGGAACTCACTATGAAGACCAGGCTGGACTTGATCTCTCAGAGATCCACCTGCCTCTGCCTCTGGAGTGCTGAGACTAAAGGTATATGACAGCACACCCACCTGGATTTGAATTTTTTAAAATCTCTTATGTGTGAGAGAGATAGGTGTGTGTGTGTGTGTGTGTGTGTGTGTGTGTGTGTGTGTTGTGTATGTGTTCATGTGTGAACATAGCTGTACACATGCCACACAGCGCATGTGGAGGTCAGGTGACAACCTTCAGTTTTGATTCTTCTACCTTATTTGAGACAAGGTCTCTTGTTTTCTGATGTGTGCACAGCTAGCTACCCTCCAGTTCCCAGGGATTCACCTGTCTCTACTTCCCATCTCACTGTAGGAGTGCTGAAATTACAGACATATGCCACTGCCCTCAGGTTTACATGGGTCCTGATGATTTGAACTCAGGTCCTCATACTTGTATGGTAAATGCTTTTATTCACTGAGCCATCTCCCCAGACTGGATTTGAAATATTTTAATATGTAAAGAGATTTGGAATCACCTAATTTAGAACACCAGACTACCTTGAACTGAGCTGTGGTCAGTGATGAATGAGAATGAAGGAACGGACATCCTCCACTGTTTACACAGTCTCTGTAGGTGCTTATCTCTGTAACAAAGGACAATAGGGGCTCCCAGGTCTCTGTCTTCTAGGTATTGATGCACAGTTAATGCATTGTTAAAGGGAGCCACAGTACTAGCATAGAAGGAACTGAGCTGTGGGTGAAATCACTGTTTATGTAGGAAACCAAAGGAGATCTTTACATCTATTCCCAGTACCAAAATGAAAAATAATACTGCCAGCCCAAGAGAAAGCACAGTGTGGGCATTGCATTGCCTTTGTTTTTGTTTTGAGTACTTCCTATCTACCCGCCTCTGACCCCCCAGTCCACTAAAGCCAGTGGATTTGAAGATTCAGTGAAGTCCTCCAGTGTTTTCAAACTGGTCCTTTGTTGTCAAGAGGCTTTGCATAGACATCACTGCTTCCAGGGCCCAAACTGAAGCTCTGGAATGCACTCTCCAGCCTGTGTGCATGTTAAGGTCCACCTTGCAATCACTACAGGAAGCTCTGGGGTCTGGGCAAACAGGTTAGGCCTCCAAATGAGTTCCAGTTGTAGGGCCAAGAGAGGTCAAGGCTTACAAAATCCCTCAGTAGCCAAATAATGGTGTAGGTCATAGCTTAGTGTTTTGACAGCCTATACCAGCAGTTTTCTCAACTGATACATTGACCTCGGTCTGGGCTTCATCCTGTTGATCTAATAAAGCACCACCATCATAACAGAGAAAGCAGAAAGATCTTCTGTGGTCCTGGCTACTTGGGGATATAGCTCTACAGTGTGGCTGTAAAACTAGCTTTAATTAGTAAATGAAGTATATTTGGACAAATAGGCTGGTTTTTAGTTTGTCAGTTTTTTTTTTTCATTTTTTTAAAAGAAACATTCTACATCTTTCTACAAATACCCATTAGTCAGAGGAATACAGTGGTGTCTTCACAAATATTAAATATCAATATCACAAAGAGCTCACTAATGTTACAGAGTTCAGGGCCACCAGGAAAATACCACAGACACTGGGTCAGATTTTAATTCAAAGTTTATTCAAGCTAGCTTGGACTATAGCCCTCAACTTGAGAATGAGGACTGCAGCCCTGAGGGAGTGGGCTTTAAAAAAAAGAGGGGGGATTTTCCAGGTGGGGTTATCGATTACACAAGGCAGACAATGGTTAATTATCTCAGGACAGTTATATAATTGCAGGGGCAGGGGAGAGGAGCTTTGGGGGGGGGGTCACAGTTTTGATATAGTTTTGATACATTGTTTAAAGAGCAAGTAAACAGGCCATTTCCCAACTCTGAACAAACAAGCAGGGGCACAAGGAAAACAATTACAGTGGCGGAAGTGGTGATATCACTCTGTGGAACCCATAACTGCAAGGAGTTCGAGATCCCATTTTCTTTGGAGCACAGCAATAAGCAAGTTTACAGGAGCCAGAATGGAGCAGTTAGAGGCATCAGATAGGGGCGTTGCAAAACCTGCTTTTGTTCCCCTGTGGTCTTAAAAGGAGGGCCAAATGATTTACAAGGACTGGGTTACTTACAAGAACTAGGGGTAGGGGAGAATTCAGTTCAGGGTTACTTCCTTAAGATGGAGTTTTTAAAATGGAGCCTTTCTGGACAGCACACTAGTGTATCCAATATTACAGTGCTCCCTACAATACATGGGGGAAACACATCACAAAAAAGTCAACTGATACTTGGGTGAGGTTTTAGGATTCATTTTAAAAAGTCTTGTCATTCTGAGGACATTTTAAATATTTGCATTCATCTGACCGTCAATCCTCCCTACACTAAATATCCTTTAATTGTACAGCAATTGCTGGCCATCCAGGAGGAGTTAAACAACAAAAAGTCAGAATTGGAGCAGGCAAAGGAGGAGCAATCCCACACACAAGCGCTGCTGAAAGTCCTCCAGGAGCAAGTAAGTGAGCGAACACCTTTCTGATTTAAGAATCTGTTCAGACATTCCCAACACACACTCCCTAGTGTGTCTCCCACACAAAAAGGACTGAAGGTAATCTGCAGAATAATTAGCCTGCACCCTGCCAAAGCTCTTGGCAGTTTTGCTATGTGGAATTTATAATGTCATTCTCTGTCTTTACTCCTTGTATCTACTCAGACTATCCAAGCCCACCCCACTTATGTGATTGTCTCTTTAAAAGACAAATGATTTCTGATAAGGTTTTTGAAAGTATTGGCAGTGCAACCATATGTCAAAGTAAGCAGCTAGTTTCCTTTTAAGTATAAGAGTGAGGAAAATAAGTTTAGCATAATCCACGATGCTCCCGCAGACACACAAATAAGAAGAACAGCGTCACAGTGACATTAAACACACATCTACCCTGTGCATCAGGGCGCTTATCTGACCATGGTGAGCAACAAACCTTTCATATGAAGTCTGGAAAGCTGATCATTTCATTCGGGCTCTGAGACAGAAGTGTGGCCTGACGCTGACAAGTGGATGAGAAAGTATTCGTAGTGTGGTAAGATGGATCACTTGGCAGGCAGCGGCATGAAATCCAAGTCCCGTTGTCTACCCTAATGAAGCTGGAAAACTCTGGAAATGCTTCCATTTTCCTGGCCTTCACTGGCTGCCAACATGTAATGAATGGTAATTAGGTAGGTGCAGGTGGCACAATAAAGACCCCACCCCTTTTAAACCAAAGGTAGATTGTCTTAAAGTTTTTACTCAAATATAGTTAGGCAAAGCAGGCTTTTACCATGTAACTTCAAAAGTGACATTGTAGAAAATATAAGGCAGACAGAGAAGTGCCCTCAGTCAGCTGGGACTCAGTCACTTGGTAATTCATCTTTTGCCACTGATTCAGAATTTAAAAAATACATTTTCTAGTTAGACTGTACTGAAAGCAGAAGCGACCTGTAAGAGGAAAGTGATCTCAGATCGTTTATAAACTTCCATAGCTTTTGAGGAAAATGATTTATAAATGTAAGGATTATCTTTACGTGCTTGTTCAGTAACGCACACTGAGGCTGAATCTGCAAAGTTCAGATGTGTTAGACTGAGCTGAAAAGTCTGGTTGATGAAATCACAAAGGCCTACCTGCTGTCACCACCACCCTCACCTTGGCATCTTTGTGGTGCAAAGTGGAGCTGACTTGGTCTACATTTGATCTTGATCAGGCAGACATAGTGTTGTGCCCTCTCCTTGGTGGTCTTTGGCTTTGGCTTTTAGAAAGCTTTAACTGGGCTGGGTTGTCATGGGTTCTTGTTTCTCTAGATGACTCAAATCCTGTCTGGTTTGAAGTCTAAACTGAGTCTTAAAAATAGACTTTTTGTATAGAATGGGTTGCTGCAGTCTTGTCGGGCATGTGATTTTAAAGAGCAAAGTACACACAGGTGTTGGGCGGCACATCACACCCCGCTCCATCACCTCAAAAAAGGAGGCTTATGAAGAGGAAGCAGAACAAGGAAATCACTAAAGGCCTACTATAAACTATGACTGAGAAGGAAGCAATTTTTACAGCTGCCGCGTTAATGGAATGGAATGGCTCTTTTCATGCAAGGGCACCAAGAATGCCTGCGTCTAATAAGACCAGAGGCATTTGAGCACCATTGCTGCTACTGAGCCATTAGCCTGCCAAGCCCTTTGCTGCTGCCCCAACCATTCTTACAGAAGGCAGCATGCATGCAGTGAACACATTCCTTCTACCTCTAGGCACTCCTCCCAACACACACATGCACACATGCACACACTGAGAAAGGCCCCTCCCACCTCCATGAACAGTGACTTATGAGGCTTTCTTTGAATATGTATATTCTATATTTACATATAGAGTAAATATATGTGAAAACACCTTTTCAGTGCCTACATACAGTCTTAATAAATAAATGGTCATATGCAAGTGCACATAAACACACACACACACACACACACACACACACACACACACACACACTGCTGAAAACATATATCCTTTCTGGAGGACTGGGATTTTGCTATTGAAAACAACTGCCCCTGGCAGGAAATCCTGACAAGAAAGGCCAGATCTTGAGGGTAAACCCTCCCCCAGGGGCTTCACCCTGCAGGGACAGCTGGGTTATGCTCTGTGCTCTCCAGCTCTGTTTGATGACATTTAGCTTTTCCAAGCTCACCAGCCACTTCCTATCCCTTGACAGGGATGAGAGCATCCTACACCAGGATCTTGTTCACCAACCCCTATCTCCTCAGATACTAGAGGATGTAGGATGTTCATTCCTTACTCAGAGAGAGAGAAGAGCATCAGGATGAGGGAACAGGAAGTGGCTTTGAGGGTGAAGCATCAGGGTGTGCAGAAGCTGCCTGAGGAAACTCTAGCAGAAGAGCAGAGAGTGAATACAGGCAGATAGGAAGTGGGAAGAGAGTAAGTGGGCTGCCACAAAGAGAGGGCAGCTGGGGAGATAGCATGGACAGGGAGACTACAATGCATTTAACAGGGAGGACAGCCGCTGTCATGTGTGCTGGGGAACATGGAAAGCTGGACCAGACTTGCAGAAATAATCTTTTCTTTTGCCGAACAGAACTCCTGAGCTCATTCTACTGTCACTCACGCAAGTACAAGTTACCAGACTAGAGGTAGGATGAGCAGAGAGGGTACTGAAAGGGAAGAAGAGAAGTTACCTAACAAGAAACCTTAAGTTAGGAAAGATATTTAGAAACTCCCAGTGCACTCTGGTAGATGGTATTCCTATCACTATGGTGTACATTCTCCTGTTTCTGTATATTACACATTACCCATACGTCCATGTGTTTATTGGACATACAAACGTCTATGGTATAGCCCTAAGAGAAAGCAATTTGTTGTTGTTGTTGTTAAGTGGGGTGATGTGACAATGAGTCATATAGCCTTAGATCCATAGACACTTGCCTCATTCTCAGTTTCTCACATCATCATTCCTTTAGCTAAACCCCTCTGGACATGAAGAAAAGTTGGCTTTCTTACAAGAGTTGAGGACTGCCTTGAAGAACCTATTGATTCTTTTATTTTAAAATGCACAAATAGCTATGGAGAACCAATGTTCTGAATCAAACACAGTGCTATATTTCCAAATGCTTCTTCTAAATTTAAATGACTTATTTCCTACCATGGATATTTTCTAATAGGCAGAAAAAAAATCAAGTAGCAATGCTGCTTTTGAGCATCCCAATAGGGAAAAAAAGGTGGCCCAACAGCTGCCAAGCCAGCTCATCTTTGTCCTTTGCTCTCTGCCGTCAAAGGTCTGCTCTGAATCAGGATAGGAGGTACAACTAGAAGTTCCCTGAAATCTCTAATCAGAGACAAAGAGTGAGAGCAAGAATGAGAGAGAGAGACAGAGACAGAGAGACAGAGACAGAGACAGATATTTTTTGAATGCTATTAAGAATCTTTGTAAAAAAGCTTTTCTTCTAATGCTTCAGTGGTCAAAGAGATGTCTTCCCAATTAATTCTTTCTCACCAGAAAGAGGCAATTTGTCTTCTCCTGATACATCAAGAGATGTCAGTCACTCAGTCCTGTTCTCAGGGATAACTTGTACAGTTGTACAGCAGCACTACAGCATGTGAAAATGACTGAATGCCCATCATTCACCAGTGATCCTTAGTATAACATCATTTAGCTGGTGGCAACTTGTAAATACTGCAGGGTTTAAATTAATGGCAATCCCACTAGGAAATGAAATCATTTATTATTCTTAAGAATCAATTTTATATATTTTATGCCTATGGAACAACTTCCTAATCTTATTATTTAAAAAATAATGACCATGATCCACTTGGGGTTTTTTTGCCAGCCCTCAAGCTTTATAAAATATTGGTTTCAAACTGGTTTCACTAAGATTCATTACAATTGTATGCTCCAACTGTTTGTCCTCATTGGAAGTTTTCTAAAATGCAACCTCAGATAAATCAGAGTTAGCAAAATGATGTATGCTTGGCAGATATGCTTGCTTATTCTTTTTTGTTTTTGTTGTTGTTTTTCTTTAAATTTTGCAGTTAAAAGGTACCAAGGAACTGGTGGAGACGAACGGCCACAGCCATGAGGATACAAATGTAGGTACCACAGCCTGGTGTTTGCCCTTCTCACTGGGTATTGGTTGGAACCTGGGAATATGGCACTTTATTTGTAACATAAAGGAAATCAGAAGCCCTGCCTCTCGGTAGCTTGAGATTATTCTATAGATTTTTTTATAGGTTTCTGCAATGAGATGCGGTAGATACGCACTTCTCTTATTAGCTGTTTGCCAAATATCATCTTGAACAACTTAAGATAATGTCCATCAGATAGTCTAATTTCAGTGAGTTTGCTTGAAATCGTTACTTTTTCAAAGCAACATGTGTTGGAGGACAAATGGGACAGGACCCAACAGGCTAATAAGTTGTGTATTGCTTATGTACTAATAACATTTGCTTGTCAATGAAGATGATAATTAAATGAATTAAATAACTGACATGCTGAAGAGGTCCCAGCACCACCCCGCCCCCAGAATAGCGATTGGAAGTGTACTACTCCTCTTCAGTTTCTGACTCAAAACAGTAACACAAAGCATCCGTCTTCTTAATAAAGCATTAGGTATAATGGTGCCAGATCCCAGTTAGCTCCATGACCTCCTTTCTTAATATTCCTTAAATATCCAAATGCCAGAAAGTTGTAACTCAGAAGTTCCATAGTCTCAGAAGGAGTATTATACCTTGCAGATCATTGTCTCTCCATGTGTTTGATGGCTCTGTTTTTGTCCTTTTAAAAATCACTCTGATATCTGTTTTATATTTGATTAGCTTGCTCACAGGAAATGCTTACTAAGCAGTCCTTTTCACATAACACGAAAATCAGACATGGTAATGAATGCTTGATTAAGCTAGTGCTAGAAGAAATTATATATTTCATGTTCACTCTTGTTTTAATTATATACAGCACAAAGAACCAAAAAAAAAAAAAATCCCTTTGTAATTACTTACTATTCCTACCCAACATCTTTTAACATAGGGTGCTTAATGGGGGATTCACTATGTTTATGATACTCTACTGAGTTCTAGCAGGGGTCTGAAGATTCCTGGGGAGCCTGAGGCATGCTGTCTGCTCTCAGGGAACTTATTTTCAAGCCAAGAAATGAAGGAATGCAGACTACAGAAAGGATGCAGCATGCTCAGAAGGGTGAGGCCACTGGGATAGGACATAAATTCAAATTCCAGACTTCCGCTGCTTGTTAATGCACAGTTTGACACCTCTTACTGGTTAAAAGAATGGCAAAGCTCCCCTTAAAAACTCATCATGGGCCTTGTTCAGGAAACCACATCATTGCGATCTCATGGGTGCAGTTTCCCTGTCATGTCTAGAAGACACTGCCTAGCAGGAGTCCTGATCCTCTGACTCTTACAGTCTTTTCACCCCAGCTTCTGTGATGTTCCCTGAATCTTAGATATAGTGGTTCCATTTTAGATGTATCAATTGGGGTTGGTCTCCCCATGGTCACTTATTTTCTGTATCTCTCTCTAGTCTCTCAGTTGTAGATCTCTGTAATCATCTCCACATGTTGCAAAAAGAAGCTTCTTTGATGAGGGGTGAGAGCTACACTTATCAGTGGGTATAAGGAAAATAAGTTTAGGAAAATAGTAATAATGGGTTCTTCTATAGGGTTATGACCTCTCCAGTCAGAGATATTTGGCAGATATTTGGAAGTTTACAGTATCAAGCACAAATTACCTCCTATCAAGCAGGCCTTAAGTCTAAGTAGACAGTTGATGGTTTTCCTCAAGGTAAAAGTGCCACCATTGCAGCATTCCCTAATCCCTATCTTGCTGAGCTAGTCACTGCTGTGCTCTGTAGGCTTTATAAACAAGACCTGCATAATGACAACACCGGTTGATGTGCCAGTGTGAATGGGGAAATTTCACCAGGTCCCACCTCTAGATGAAGAGCTACAGGCAATCAATGGTACCTGAAAGAGGGAAAATCAATTTTCCCTGATAGGTTATCTAATCCTAAATGATCACCCCTAAACACATGTACATACTAGCACCACTAAATGGACTTAGTAGGCTGTGTGTGTGTATGTGTGTGTGTGTGTGTGTGTGTGTGTGTGTGTGTGTGTT